CAAATAAAAACCAAAACCACAACAAAAACCAGCCCACCTCTTTCTGGCTTTATTGTCAGCCACCTTCATGGATTAACAGGGATAGGGAAATCTAGAGAACAAAATGTAAAATAATATTTCAGTAAATTATCCTGCCACTCTGATATGCAGCAGAGAATGAAAATAAGGTTTGCATGTTACACAAAGGCCATGCCAAGTTTCCATTTTGATTTTGGTAGAGCTTTCTTTCCCTTTCTAAAAGACTGTAAGGGCTCCCAACTATCTTAGAGTATCAGATAAGCAATCATCCTGAGAAGCAATCATTTTGAAAATGGGCTCTGCTTGAAAAGCTACAGCATGTTGCCCTGGCCGGGTGGTTCAGCTGGTTGGAGCATTGTCCTGCGCACCGAAAGGTTGTGAATCCAGTTCCCCGTCAAGGGCACGTACCTAAGTTTCGAGTTCGATCCCCAGTGGGGGGGTGTACGGGAGGCAACTGATCAGTGTTTCTCTCTCCCTCTCCCTCTCCCTCTCTCTAAACATATCTTTGGGTGTTGATTTAAAGAAAAATAAAAACTATAGACTATCATACCAAGCTTCAGGTGTCTCTAACCAATCTCCAATGTCTTCTCAAGAATTAGTGGTATAGTTTGAGAAATAAAGTTAGGATTCAGGAGTAATTGTGACACTAAATATACACATACACACACACATAGATTTGGTATATTTGGTAACTCGTATTCTATTTTCTTTAAAGTCTGGTATATACTCATTGTTTTCCAAGGTTAACACTTCTGCTTAACATCAAATACACACAACAGCAAAACGCTGAACCTTCGGATATTTTCCGACCACACTGAGAGTCGCAAGCGCCCTTCTGTGCGTGTTCCTTCCCCTCCCACGTGCGGGAGCCTCTCGCAGGCATCGCTGAGTGTGCGCTCCCTGAGAGCGGGAGGGACCGGCCCCGCAGCCAGTCCACAGAGAATCCTGACCCTTAGAGATATGTTTGATGCAGAAGTAAATAAAATGCTATAAAGCTCGGTCCAAAGCGGACCTTCACACTCCTGTCTCCACAGCAACACGGACGTGCACACAGTGGCGTCACTTCTCAAACTGTACCTCCGAGAGCTCCCGGAGCCAGTCATCCCATACGCGAAGTACGAGGACTTTCTGGCATGTGCCAAGCTGCTCAGCAAGGAAGAGGAAGCGGTGAGTCCCCGCGTGTTTCTGCACGAGGTTCTGCTCCGGGCTGTGGTCGGTGCGCTTGGTCTTTAATTGTAAACTCCTCTGCCCTATCCTGGGATCGTGTTCCACTAGTCTGTGTATCAGCATCACACACATTTACACCTGACACACACAGCTCGGGTCCCAGTTTTAATCCCCTCTCATCAAAAAGAAAAATGTCGCTGAATAAATGAAATGAGCACTCCCTAAAAGGTTATTTGCTCCCCTAAAAGGTTAATTGTGGTGCCAAATAGTCTATGAACAAACTGGATGACTTATTTCATATTTCCTTTTTCATTGTGTGCCTCTTAAATCACCTCAAACAATGACTCCTAAGAAATCCTACCTGCTGCCTGTTTTTGTAAAAACAGCTTTATTGAGATATAATTCAGATACTACACAGTCACCCATTTGAAGTATATAGTTCAGTGCTTTTTAGCATATTCTCAGTTATGCAACCATCACCAAAATATAATTTTGAAATATTTAGCACATTTTATCACCCCATAACAAACCTCCTACCTGTTCCCTATGCTTCTCCCTCCCCAACTCTTGTCAGCTACTAACTAACTTTCTATCTCTATAAATTTGCCTATTCCAGACATTTCATGTAAACAGCATCATTCAATACATTGTCTTTTGCTACTGGTTTCTTTCACTGTTTTCAAGGTTCGTCCACATTGCACCACATATCAGTATTTTATTCCTTTTATTTCTAAATAACATTCCATCATTTATCCACCCATCAGGTGCAGGGCACGCGTGTTGTTCCCACTGTTGGGCTGTTATTGATAATGCTGCTATGAACATGTGTTTTCATTTCTCTTGGGTATATACCTAGGAGGTAGGGTTGCTGGGCCGTATGTAACACTGTTTTCTAAAGAGGCTTCACCATTTAAAATTCCAGTGTGTGCAGGTCCCAATTTTTGCCAACACTTGTTATCTCTCTCTTTTATCATAGTCATCCTAATGTGTTTAAAGTGGCATATCATTGAGGTATAAGTTGTATTTCCCTGATGGCTAATGATTTTAAACATCTTTTCATGTACGTAATTGGCTGTGGGTGTATTTTTTTTTTTTTTTGGAGAAACTTCATATTCAGATCATTTTCCCATTTTTTTTTGGTTGTTTGTCTTATTATTAAGTTGTAAGAGTTCTTCATACAGTTTAGATACATATCCCTTATCAGATACATGATTTGAAAATATTTTCTCCCATTCTGTGGTTTGGCTCTTCATTTCCTTGAATGGGTATCCCTTGAAGCACAAAAGTATTTAATTTTGATAAAGTCTAATTTATGTTTTGAGGGGGGGTCACTTGTGCTTTTACTTGCATATCTAAGAAGGCTTCGTTTAACCCAAGGTCACAAAGATTGACTCCCATATTTTCTTCTAAGCCTTTTATAACTTTAGCTCTGACATTTAGGTGTATGCTCCATTTCGAGTTACTTTTTGTTTATGGTGTGAGGAAAGGGTCCAGCATCATCCTCTGGCATGTGGATACCCAGTTGCCTCACCACCATTTGTTGAAGAGACTTTCCTTTTTCCCTTTGGGTTTTCTTGACACTCTGGCCAAAACTGCTGCCTGGTGGTTACATAATGTCTGGGGCTGCTTTCGCACTACACCAGATATGTGGTCTCTGTTTTTGAGACAGAGACCACATATCCTACAAAGCATGAAATACTTTCTGACCCATTATAGGGAGAAGAACAGTCAGATCACATCATCCATTAGCTTTTCTGGGACCATTTGTATTTTAGAGGAAGTTCTACAATGAGAAGAAACAAAGTATTTAATCCCTTTGCAAAATTTCCGGAAAGATCAGGCTTTGCAACCCTCCATCCCGCCCCAAAGGATGTGTCCTAGATGTGGCCAGTCTTGAGAGATTTATTTGTCTGTAGATGTGTTTGTCTGTTTGGGGCATGCTAAAAATGGGAAGGAGCCTCACTATATCAAGGCTGCTTCCCTCCCCCACAAAAAAAATCTTATAAGTGAGGCGATCTTCCCTTTTCAGGCAAGTTTGAACAGATGTTTAAAATGTTAAAAGGGTTTCACTTAAATCTGTTTCTCCACAAATAGTACTTATGGAAATATTTGAAATCCTTTCACATCCTTGAAAATATTCCCAAAATGCTCTCTGTGATGGTAGCAAGTTTTCAGGGCAGGATCCTGCATTGATAATACGTGAAATTAAATTTTTTTTAAATCAGCACTGTATGTCCATTTCTTATTTGCTTTAATTCTGAGACCAACACTTAGAAAGATAATGTTTATTCTCTTCTTCTTTATACTCAGGGTGTTAAGGAATTAGCAAAGCAGGTGAAGAGTTTGCCAGTGGTCAATTATAACCTCCTCAAGTATATTTGCAGGTAAGAATTGTCCTGAACAAAATAAGACTGTATTTAGCCTGACACTAGTTTATGTTTGACAGTGAATAAAATTATTTTACTGCTCCGAGCTTGGGCATTGGCCTTTGTCAAGTTAAGAGTTTTGACAAAGTGATTTCAAAGGTTCCTTTGAGCACGAAAATTGCATGATTTTGTAATTTGTTATTTCTGCAGTCTATCTTAGCTCTACACATTAAAGCTATGTGGCTTTGAAGTCGTTTGTGCATGTTCCATGTACCATCATTTAAGAGAAGGAACATGCTCCTTCACTTGAGAAAGATTTACATGGGAGACCAGATTCTACCACTGACTCTTTACCTACCTTTATGCCATTTCGTATTCTCTTGGAGTCTGCGAGTCCTAATAGGTAAAATGGTAGTAAAAATATACAATTTTTAAAAGTTGTTTTAAAGTTGTTTTAAAAGTTAAATTATATTTTTAACTAATTAATGTATATGTAGTAAGTGTTCACTAAATACTATTTTCTTTCCATTCCTCTCCTCATTCAAGACTCATTGAAAAGATATTTGTAATTCAGTTATGTTAGAAAAAATAGTTGTGCCTGGTAAAGTTCTCCCTCAGTGATCATTTTTAACTTAAAGCTTGGGATGGGAGGTGCCATGTCTGTGCTCCTGCTTAAAAAGCCAAACGTAAAATTGAAACCTATTATTTTAAATTGACAGGACTGCTGAGTATCTTAAATGATAGCTTCCTAGTCCACTTCAAAAATAAATTTCAAATGCTTAGTTCTGCACAGTGCATCATTTATGTATGCTTTTTGTGTTGTGATTAGATAAACGTTTAGCAGACTAGGAGCTATGCAGTTTAAAACTATTGTGAAACACTGTGGAGCTCACTGTCAACCGCAACTGAGTAGGAATTCCAAAACCTCTTGCTATGATGTTTTATGTTTCAGAAGCAAACAGTACCCTAGGTTTCAGAATTTGAAAAAGCAAAACATAGTTTCACTGATACCATAGACCTATTAACATGCAGGGCTTCTAGCCCAAGGTTTTAAATTAATCCAGGCTATTGTACTGGATAATAAAAAGGTTAAATTCTCTTTAAGTAAAAGTGGAAAAGGCTTGTTTGAAAACCATATTGCAAGTCTTTATCTTCACAATGGAAAAACTTAACTTCTCTTGAAACATTTAAACAGACTTTTAATTTCATTTTTTTCTAATAAGAAATGGTAGTTTGGCTTTTTGGCCTTCAGTTTTACTGTAGTTTAGTCTGTATAACAGTAATGAGCACGTCGAAATAGGCACCTTTTTGAAAAGTCATGGTGCAGTAATTAAGAGCACCGACAACCCTAGAGTCAGAACTCGGGTTCAAATCTCAGCTCTTCCACTTCTTAACTCTGTGTCCTTGGAAAAGATTTTTACCTCTCTGGTGGCTCCTGTGTCTCATCTGTTAAATGGAGACCATCATAATATTTACCTCACATAGATGCTGTGAGAATTTAATAAGTTAGCGTAATGACTGACACATAATAAAATATACTAAATAACACATAAAATAAGCTAATTTTGTCTTATCAGTGCAATCAGTAAGCCGTGAGATAACAGAAGCACTTGCGGAATGAAAACAATGCTGCAAGATTACAAAAGCAACCCCTCCCACTAAAGTCATTCAGGGAAAGGGCTGTTTCATGCCTCTTACTCTTTAGCACCTAATAAACTGAAACAGTTTGTGCTTATAATTTTTCATGTCAGTAGAACTGTTTTAATTTAAACCATGTTTGATCTCATATTTTAACAGATTATAAATATAAAGCTCACAAATTACTCCACGAAGAGGATTGATGCTTCCCCTCTGAAATAAGGGATTATACCAGATGATCTTATTTATAATTCTCAAATTGAATATATATATTTAATTCTTTACTGAGGGATTGGAAGGAAATTCATATCCTTCAATCTAAGTCCGTATTAGTATGATCCAAACACTTGTTTCTGTGACTGACAGAGGAAACCACGTCAAGCTAGGCCAGAGGTGATATCTGAGAGGTTCTCTCAAGTCTGATTCTTAATAATTTGCAACATATTTTCTCCACCTTTCATTAAGGGATGTCTGAATTTCTAAATAATTTTATCTGCATAATCACTTAACACACTACAGTTTATAAATATTTTCTAATGGCTCATTGTATTCCACTGACAAAGTTGATCCCATTGTGTTTTGTTCACATTCTTACACCCGACAGATTCTTGGATGAAGTACAGTCCTACTCTGGAGTTAACAAAATGAGTGTGCAGAACTTGGCCACTGTCTTTGGCCCCAATATCCTGCGCCCCAAAGTGGAAGATCCTTTGACTATCATGGAGGGTAAGTAAATGATTATCTTATACCCTCCTCAAAAAAATAATCACTGTCTTTTCCTTGGCCTGAACCTATTGAGCAAACTAGGGAAGCAAGTGAATCCATGGTAACTCCATTTATTGACTCAGGTTTTTCAAATGAGAAAAATCTTCTCTTTGGGGGTCAGGCTTTTTTTTTAGTTTACTAAACATAATAATTTACTAAATGATTCCTCAGTAACCTTACAAGAATAAATGGAACTTCTATAAGTCAGCTGTAAAATATTAGGCAAGAACTCTAGAAAATTCAAGTTCACTTTTTGAGTCCAATGCAATTTTCAGAAAATTCAAAAGTTACTATTTTAAGGTAATATATTTTTATTAATTTTGGTTTATTTAACTGATTTTGAGAGGTAGGGAAAATGATCCTCTATAAGACAATGTTTCTTATTTACCTCTGGGTTGAAACATGAAGGAATTCTTACTTTCTAAATTACAAAATGCCTCAAATTCTCCTCCTCGGTGAACTGCTACTTCTCTTTATTTCTCGCTGGCCTCATTGCTGAGGTCCCCTTCTTCCCCGTGGCCATTAATAGCACCATTGTTTTCTGAAAGTTGGCCTAATTGAACATTTAAGAATTTAATGGAGAAGAGGGAAGGGGAAAGAATAATTATTTTCCGTTTCATTCTGAGTTTTTTTAGTTTAGAACAAAATATCTCCCTGATCCTGACCCTTTCATGAAAATTCTAAGATTTCCATTCCTCTCTATCTTATGCGAGAGAGAAAGCTTTTAGGTGTTTGTCTACATCAGCTCAGCTTAACTTCTTTTGTCAAATATCGAGGTCAATATAAATTGAACACCAGACTTTTTTCCAATAAGATAGTTGGTCCAGAAAACTTAATTTCTATATGAAGAGTTTAGTAGATATTAGAAAGTATAAAATTTGAGGCTACAGGAAGCTGAAAAGAGACTTTAGCTCATTATTTTCTAAAATCCTTTTCTTATTATAAAATATATCAATATGATACAGAAAACTAACACACACACGCACGCACACACACACTTCCCTTCATAAATTATAAGGTAAACACTCTAGAAATCACCACAAGATCGAGAAATAACACTTTCCTAGGCATCTGAAAAGCTCTTCCTTGTGTCCCGTCCCTCCATCTACTGCCCCGTCTTGCTTACAACACCCTCTATCTTTCTGTTCAGACGCTCATGTCAATAACTTCCTTGCATATCCTTAGTTTTACCAACCATATGGACTTTCTTAGACATTATATTTACCCTTTACTAGTCTTTTATTTGATAGATTTTCAATCTTTTTTAATATACAGGATCCCTACAATTTATCTGTTGAAAAATTAGGTCATCTGACCCGCACAGTTTCCTGTAGTCTGAGTTCTGTTGACTGCTGTTCACAATGCAGTTGAACATACTCCTCTGCCCTCTGTTACCTACAGATTAGGACCTGGGTCAAATTCATGTCTGATCATCTGAGCAAGGCTATCGATTGTGCTGCATAACATCTGGTTATCTCTTTTTTGTGTATGATCTTAGTGCAATTCTTACAGCTATTAATTCACTGGATGCTGAAATGTTGATATCCTAATTCTATAATTTTTCCCCAATTTTTAAAATTGTGATAAAATATACATAACATAAAATTTACCACCTTAACCATTTTTAGGTGTAAGATTCAGTGGTATTGTGCACATGCGTATTGCTGTGCAAGGATTACCACCATGCATCTCTACAACTCTTTCCATCTTGCAAAACTGAAACTCTGTATCCATTAAACATAACTCTGCTCCTCCCTCATCTCCTGGCAACCCATCCTACATTCTGTCTGTATGAATTTTATTACTTTACATACCTCATATAAGTGGATTCACACAGTATTTGTCTTTTGGCGACTGGTTTATTTTACTTAGCGTAATGTCTTCAATGTTCATCCATTTGGTAGCATTATAATTTTTTAACTTAATAATTGGAACACTTTTATAACAAAAACAACAAGCCTCTTCTCCTCACCTAGTACTTAGTAACTCAGTGATAACTTCCATAAATAAAAGGCAGGATAAATGCTGCTTGACTCTTTCCCTTTATTAGTCTTTAAATAATGAAATAGATTCTTTTTTAACTGAATTTATTGGGATGACATTGTTTCACAAAACCATACAGTTTTCAAGTGTACAGTTCAACAAAACATCATCTGCACACTGCACCGTGTGCCCATTGCCCAAAGCAGTCTCTTTCCATCCCTGATTATCCCCCCTTTTCCCTCTTCTACGCCCCAACCCCCTTTCCCTCTGGCTATCACCATACTGTTGTGTGTGTGTGTGTATATACTTTTTTTTTTTGCTTAATCCCTTTACCTTGTTTCACCCAGTTCCCTAACCTTCTCTTCTCTGGCAGCTGTCTGTTCTATGTATCTATGCTTCTGTCTCTATTTTGATGATTAAATTATTTTGTTCATTAGATTCTACATATAAAGGAGATCATATGGTATTTTTCTTTCTCTGATGGGCTTATTTCACTCAGCATAATATCCTCCAAGCCCACCCAACTGTGGCTTCTTAACATCCTCTCACCGCCAGTTCTCCTCCTCCTCCCCCTTCTTCCTTTTGTAAATATTATTATTAACACGATTTTAAAAATATAATTATGAACTCATGTATTTAAATCTATTTCATGGGTCAATGCACTGTAATTACCGTTCTTTGTAATTATCACTGTTCCCATCTTTGCCAGTGGAAGCCCCTTCAAGTTGCCTTCTGAGTCCTTTTGACATGACTCGAATAGTTTTGGGTAGCTTCCTTTCTTTTTAGTATTTCAAGATTTCTCAGACTCATCTATTTCCTGCCCCAAACCTGGAATCAACTAATTTCCAAAGAGTCCAATTTTCAAAACATTTTTTTCAGTGGGAAATGATACTTCAAGGCCACAGTATAGGTACTAGTGATGCTCATTGCTACTGGTTTGGTTATTTCTAGGCCTTTCAGTGGACAGAGCTAGTAGATACGAATGCATACCCACAGGCATACTATTACATGGGCAATATACATGCATACACACATGTATTAAAAACAATCTGCCTCAGAAGTTCATACTATACTTCCCCTTCAGAATCATGACCACTGTATAGCATTTTTAATTATTAACTTCTCTCTGCTGCGGTTAGAATATCTGACACATAATCATTTGCTCTATCTCTTCAAACACATAATAGTTTCAGAATAGCAATAGTAATACTACTAACACCAATGGGATTATTGCAAACATTAAAAACTTTATATATGATCTTCTATTCTTCTTTTATTTTTAATATTTACACTATATCTACATACACACATTAGGCACTGTACTCTATTCCTTTTAGTTCTTACCTAGTCTTAGTTCTATATGTAGCTATGCATTTAATGGTCCTCGTGGGTCCTCACATTGTTGTCTCTCTAGCCTCGTAGTTCTCAAAATGTGGTCCCAGGATACCTGGGGAGGCCCTAAGATGCCTTTAGAAGGTCCCCCAAATTCAAACATATCTTCATAATAATACTAAGATGTTATACTGTTTTTTGCCCTTTCACTATGTTAATATTTGCACTGATGGTGCAGAAGCAATGATGGGAGAAAACTGGCACCTTACTATGAATCAATGTAGTGGTACCAAACTCCACGAGCATCATTACATTTCTCACCACCATGCACTAACAACAGGAAAAAAAATGCCAATTTTACTTAAGAACATTCTTGTTGAACAGCAGAAAATATTAACTGCACTAAATCCCCACCCTTGAGAACACATCTTTTTAACATTCTGGTGGAGAGACAAGCTCCATGGATAAAGCACTTCTTCCACATGCTGTTTGAAAGGCACTACAGTAATCGGCTCAAGGAAATGCATCTGTGTGATTATTTGAGTTGAGAGCTATACTCACTGCTTTTTCATGGTACTTCATGTTTCCTTGAAAGAACAATGGACAAACTATAGTTATTCAGACTTGAGCACTTGGCAGACAGGTTCTCGAAAAATAACTGGGTTAACCTTTTACTTTAAGAAAAACACTGGCAGAATGTGTTGCCATTGATGAAATTTGAACAAATGAAAAACTTTTATCTAACACCTTGAGCTTGACAGCTTCTTAATACTTACCCACTTTCCTGGTGGGATTGTGCTGATAGTGACACAATTAAATGTATCTTTGATACTCTAGAATTAAAGGTATCAACATCTGGAGAATCTGCATAACCCAGTGAATTTTTCAGATGCATGTTATCATAAGCGAGGAGTGTGTAGAAGATCTGGTCAACGTTCAGGTTAGGTTCTCTGACTTCACAGAACCAAATCTTCTGTTTTTCACATGCACGGGCTTAGTTCCAATCCCTGGTTGTAATGACGCCTCCCTTGCTTTTGTCTCTGTTGTCTCAGTCCTCCCTGCTTGATTTTCATTTCCCTCCCAAGAGCCCCCCAGCCCAGTGTGGAGCTTTGTCCGGAAGGGAGCCCCGGCTGGTCAGTGATGAGAGTTCACAGGCGCTAGATGACCCTAATTTCTCCAGACCTTCCCGGAGATTGCCTGTATTGGATTAGGCACAGTCCCTCCCGGTTTGGCCTGCTGTGCTTAAATTAGCTCTTTGCATTTCGCAGCCAGTGCCCATACTTCAGGGATTTTCTGTTCTCTGGCCCGTTATTGCTTCCTCCTACTTTCTCTCGCACGGACGTCAACACCATGCATGTCTTGTGACAGTGGGGATTTGTGTCCAGAATTTTGTTTTTTGGAGTTTGGGAGGATACCTTGTCACCTAGTGTTGTTGTGAATGTTGTCCGGGGGTTGGGATTTGCTAGCTAGTTGCTCTGTTTTTACGTGGGGATTTAGGGAGATTCCGCACTGCGCTGCCACCATCCTCCCAGAAGTCAGTGGATTTTTTTGTGTGCGTGTCTTTCCGTTTTAACTCTTATTGTTGCTATTTTAGAAGGCATCCTATAAAAATTACATAGCCCACCCTCCC